GATTCTGAGTCAGCTCTGCAGTTCCGGAGTTCAGAGAAAAGGTCTGTTCTGGAGAAAGGTATGAGTCGTTGGCTTAGGGAGAACACATAGAATGAAAAGAGCCTGAGACTGAGTCTTCATGAACTCCATTATATGACCAAACACAGAATCTTCCAGGCACAATGCTATGAGAGTCCAGAGGACACAAAGTCATCAACCACGGAAGGCCTCCTGGAAGAGGTGACATTGCATTCTAATTAGAGTGTGCAGAGGATCTTAGTGATCAGAGAAAACTGCTTTCTCTGAGAGAAGAGTTAATTGAGAAATTTCTGTTGTAAATAACCCAGTATTATTGGGTAAAGCTTAAAATGTTTGTAGTCTTGGCTAAGGACACTGCCTAAATAATTAACTTTTTGCTTCTTCTCCATCTGATGACCTGGGCCTACTCACCAACTCATCACCTCATAATCCACCTTTAGTGTGTTCAATAAATAATGAGACTAAGCAACCATAGCATTTCCTAAAAATAAGGTAGATCTGGCTTCTGGTCAAGATGGCAGTATACTTAGAACATGGAACTTGGAAACTCCCACAACCACATTAAAATTACAACCAAACTACAGAAGAGCCATTGCTCAGAACTGTCTGAAATCTAGCCAAACAGAAGACCTGTAACTAAGGTATAAAAAAGAAGCCACATCAAGACCAGTGGAATAGGCTGGACTCCCTAAAAAATTGTAGCTGGGGAGCAAGGGTCAAGTCCATTCTGACTTGAACCAAGTGCTGATGACACAGAATAGGCTGGTCCCACACCCACATGTGGTTAAAAATTGGAAGGAATATCTTGGCTGCCCTAAAAAGCCAGAGGTCCCACCCTCAGCCCAGAATCCTCAGCCCAGAATTCCAGTGGCTGGAAGAGATATCTTCAAAACTTCTGGCTGTAAAAACCAGCGGAGACTGTAGCTGAGTGAGACGAAGATCCTGCCCGTAGATGGACTCCGTTTCACTGCCTATGAGCTCCAGCACCGGGGCAGCAGCTTGAAAGACACCAGAGGCATGTGGGACGAACTGAACTGTCTGGAAGAGCAGCCTTCTCCCAGGCAGAAGTGCTGGCAGAGGCCACGGTTCCTTGCTGAGCCCTCCCCCAGCAGAGCCAGCAGGCAGGCACCATATCTGAATCTCCATCAACCTGGCTGACACCATTTGCCCCACCCGGGTGATTCCCAGAGGTCCCACCCACCTAAGCCTTTTCCAGAGTCTGTCCATACAAATGGCCTGTCTTGGCTCATGCTGCCGACTTTCCTAAAAGCTCTCAAAATAAGCAACATCTGGCCTTTGTGTACCCTGTACCTCTCGCTAAGTGGCCCCCGTATTAGCACTAGTGGCAGCTGGCTGTGGTCCTCAGCTTGGGCTCTCCCAGGCACCTCCAAGTCCAGCACAAGTAGCAGCCATCTGTGGATTGCTTTGTAGCTCGTGTTGTGTGGCCTTGGGCAGGACACAGGTGGCAGCTGACCTTGGCCCACACCTCCCAGCACATGTGGTAGACAGCTTCAGAACAAACTGAAACACCACCCAATTACCTCAACAGGCAACACATTCAAGGCATGGACTCAGTGGGTATCTGAGACCTGGTAAAGTGAGTTCAGCTCACTGGAGTTGGCCCTTGAACTGCTGATTCTCCACCGTGGTCATAGCCTCTATTTGCAGCGGATCGGCCTGGAGGTAAATCCATCCCATTGACTTGCCAATAGCGATCAAGGCTCAACTCAAACAGGAGGATACACACAGCCCAAATGGAAGGCACACCTGGAGATCCCAGCTCAGGTGACTGGGGAGGCTGCATGAGACCGACAGTGGAACCTGGGTTCTCAAACTTAATTTATTCCAGAAGACTGTTTGGGAAGCAATTTATAAGAAAACTGAAGCATTTTTCCCCTTAGAAACAATGTAAATTTAATTCATCTGTTCCGGAACCCCAAATGATTTCCTGTTTTAACCTTTCTTATATATAGTACATGTCTAATGTACTGTTTAACCTATAAATAAACACACTTAAAACAAAAAGGAGATGAAATATAAATGAAATTTTTTAAAGGGAATAAAATGTACAGTAAAAAATTAAAATGTATGTCCACGCCGGAACTTAACTTTAATGTTGAGAGCTATTGCTCTGAAGTGCTTTCACTGGCAAACTGCTTTTCATTTATCCAAATCAACAATTTTTCTGCCTCTCAGCATGTGATTGTTGTTTCATGAGCACTTTCACACCCTTAACATCAGCACTCTTGATGGCCTCTTTATGTTTTAAAATTTAGCTAATCAGCGATTTCCCCATGCCATACTTGGTAGCCAGATTAGATACATGAACACCTTCTCACTTTGCTGCAATCACTAACCTTCTTAGGACCCATGGTGGCTTACTGTATGTAAGTATCTCAAGAAATGATAATCAAACTTCTTTAAGAAGAAAAGAAAAGATAATGAAATATGAATACAAAAATACAGGAAAAAGATAGCCATGAAGGAGGGGTAGTTCTAAAATGGTGGTAGATTAAGTAGAAGCTACACTAACACTCTCCTGGGACCAAACTAGAATTACAACTAAAATACAGAAAAACATCCTGAATAATCAACTAAAGATCAAGAGAACCTGATAACCAAGGACTGAAAGTGGAGACCACAGAGAGACTGGTAGGAAGTGCAGAGACACAACAGGGCTGGCTGGGCTCCCACAGACAGCAGCTGAAGTTCTGGAGGGATATCTCAGCTATCAGGGGTTCCCACTGAGAACTCTGGGGTCTAAACCCCAAAGCTTGGCTCCCCAGCCCAAAGCACCAGAACTGAGAAAGGTGCCCACATAACAGCTGGCTGTGGAAAGCATCAGGGTTGCTGTCTGCTAAGGAGAAATGGCTGGGAAAGCAGCAACTCACCTTGGGCTCTGGCAGAGGGAGGGCAGAGTGGACCAGAGCTGTGTGTGGAGAATCCCCGGGTGGGCAGAGTGGACTAGAGCTGTGTGTGGAGAATCCCTGGGTGAGGGCTCTGGGGTTAGAGCTCAGAAGCCAGCCACTCCGGTTTCCTATGCTGAGTCATTTCCTCATACTGCAGTGGATATCTTTCTCTAGAAGACATTTTCCATCTAGGCAGCTTTTGCCTGGGAAGGAACCAATTGTCCACCTGTTGGAAAACCTCTCACCCACCCTGTAGAGTCCATGCCTTGCTGTGGTCTATAGCCTGAGGCAAATTAAGACTGAAAATAACAATCAGACCACAAGATGAGGTGGATCTCTGGAGGCTTTGAGCCTCTGTCGGATCTCTTTCTGGGCCTGGGGGTTGGAAAAGCAGACTTTGGTGCACCTGTTGGTCATATCCAAAGGCACCCAGCCCCAGCCGAGGGAGCACAAGCTGTGGGTTGCTGATCGCTCCAAACAGTGCTCAGAGCCAGTCACAAACCGTGTCTGACATTGTCCTGCACCAGAGATTGGGACTCTTAGCTGATCTACCTAATACACAGACTCAAACCCAAACAGGCAGCCAAAATGGGGAGATAAAACAATGATCCCCAAATAAAAGAACAAGAGAATTCTCCAGAAGAAGAGCTAAATGAAATGAAGATAAGAAATTTTCAGATAGTTTCAGGTTTTTTTCTTATAATTGATTTCTAGTTTCTTACTGTTGTTTGATATTATTTCAATCCTCTTAAACTTACTGAGCTTTGTTTTATGTCGTAATGTGTGGTCTATCCTTGAAAATGTTCTATGTGTACTTGAAAAGATTGTATATTTTGCAGTTTTGGAGTGAAATGCTCTGAATATATCAATTAATCTAGTGTGTCATTTAAGGCTGCTGTTTCCTTGTTGATTTTCTGTTCAGAAGATCTAGCCTGATAGCAATGGTTTATTAAAATTCCCTACTACGGCTGTATTACTCTTGACCTCCAAGGGAGCAGCTTCTTCTCTGCTCTGTTCTTTGCTGTGTCCCAGTGTCTGGAATTGTGCTGGGCATATTTTACGGATCAAGAAAGATTAGTTAAAATGAATGTACATGGAGCTGAATGCTAGACCTGGAGGTGAGACTACAGAGGAAGCCAGGAAAAACAGATCAGGCAGATAGATGGTAGGGCTGACGTGGAAAGAACCTGAGGCACAGGAGGCAGATGACATGAGAACTGCGAGAAGAAAATGACTAATGGGCACCCAACTGTTACGTAGGAATTATCTTTAGAAAAAGATGAATTCATAGTTGATGAGGGACCTGGGGAAAAAGTGTTCTCAAAGACCTGAGGAGGGTTGAAACCGGTTTTGCTCAGTGGATAGAGTGTTGCCTGTGGACTGAAAGGCTAGATTCCAGTCAAGGGCATGTACCTGGGTTGCAGGCACATCCTCAGTAGAGGTTGTGCAGGAGACAGCTGATTGATTTTCTAACTCTCTATCTTTCTCTCTTCCTCTCTGTAAAAAATCAATAAAATATATTTGGAAAAAAAAAAAGACCTGAGGAGGAAGGGTACACTGGCACAGTAATTTTGGAGGGCAACTTGAGAGTATCTTAAAATTTAGCATGTACTATGGAATCCAGCTATGCCGTTTTTCAATTTTACACACACACACACACACACAAAACAAAACAACAAAAAAAAAAAAAACTCGCACATATACCTGGAGGCATCTTCTTCCTTTACATTTCTTGATGACTGAAAAATAGGAAACACCCAGAAAAAGGAATGGCTGGATGAATTGCTGTACATGTATCACATGACATGCAATGTAGCTAATCTGTGTATATTGGCAGGACTGGATCACCATGCCACAGTGTTCATGGAATAAAATACGTTCCTGAGTTCCATATGCACTGTGGTCCCACCTCCACTGAAAAAAGTCAAAAGACAGGAGGGGGGAGGATTGTGTGTAATCTAAAATTTTTTGTCCATTTCTATAATTGTAAGGGTTTTTTTTAAGTCATGGGTCTGCATCATAACCTGTAAAATTTTAGTGTAAACGTATTTTATTTTATTTCTTTACAGGCAATAATAAAAAGGCTATTTATTATACAATAATTCAGTGAATTTTACCTAGTTTCAAGAATAATTCATGCAATTACAATGAGAGGTAGAAACACTGTATTAAAGACCTAAGAATACAAACATCATATAAATAAGTGTTCAAATTAACTGCTGGAATTTCATACAAATTAATAAGGTAAATTACATTACTTCAAGACACTAAATTAGATTAATGACAAAGAGCTTCTGTGCAATTTGTCAGTTCAAATTTATTATCTAAAAGGATTAGAATAGAAGGGTTAAAACTGGAGAGTGGTTTATTCAAGTATTCAAGCAGGTAAATAAGAGAAACCAAATAACGTACAAGATAGAAACCATTCTGGAGGGATGTCAACTGCCCACCTTCTCCATAATCAGCTGTTTGGTAAACTGCCAGGATTAACATGGAAAGCACGTATTGGGCTACAGAGCTGCCGTTTTCCTAAGAGAAAACAACCCTCTCTTCTCACTAATTTCATGTGGGCACTCCCCATCATTAACAAGCCTTACATCCCAACATGACATGGCCCTATCAGGATTCTAGACGTATCCCTTGATGGACATCTTTATCTAATACTGCCCAATAACGCAGTTGTTAAGAGGCCAAGAAGTCCCACCCATCAATGCACATTCCGCATGAACAATAAAGAATGCAACCAAAGGCCAACAGTTGCACCTCAAAACATCACTGAGGAAACCTGGGGGGCAGATGAAGTGGTTAAACACACGCAAAGATTCACCTGAACACAGGTCCTTACCACTGAAAAGCCACTAGCGACTACGTGTGATTCTAGAAAGGGTGTGTGTATACAATCAAGTAAAGTATTAAAAAAAAAAAAAGTATTTTAATGCAATAATGAAGAGGGCCTGAGCACTCATCTCCTGAGGGGGAGGAGAGACGGGTGAGCCATCAACTGTGCTGATGGCTCTTCCCTCCTGAGAGCAGGTTCAGAGCGGGCAGAGGAGGCAGAAGCACAGAGAGCTCTTCCTGCAGGAGGGAGCGGAGGAGTGTTTTGAGAAGATCAAGGGGAGAATTGTTATGGTTGAAGGAGACTTAAGTATCACAAGGTCTCAGCAGGTGGTTGATTTTAAAGTTAGCTTTGTTATTCATGAATGATGATGCGTATTATGCTGGCAGCCAACATTCACTGAGGGCCGGTGACACAGGCTTCTCTGCTCCTCCTCCCTCCCGGCCCCACACTCGGCAACCACTGTAGCCTCAACGCTCACACCACACCCGCAGGCAGAGTGGTGCACTTGCAGCCCCTTCTGCACAATCTGCATCTGAATTCTGTGTTTCTTTAAAAAAAAAAATCATAGCTCTCTATCATTTCCCTCAGACTGCTGGCTTTGGGAATATGTCTGATCTTTCCTGAACCTACTACACCTTAAGCAATCTGAACCTCTTTGTTCTTTCTTCATTATAATAGCTCAGCAAAAATGTCTCTGCTATGGCTTCAATCCTGATGAAACCAAATTACTAATGCTTAACAAAGAGTTCTAAGTAATTCCCCAGGCCATGCTGCTCCTTGCCTGGTGTATTTAAATTTGCCAAATGACCTGCTGAAGAGAACTAGAAGGAACTGAAACCACCCACACAAATCAGAGTCTGCTTTATGTAGTCAGGGCGCTATGTGACATCCACCGCCCCTCGTTCTGCATCAGCCACATGCTAGGTCATCAGCATTGCATCCGCGTAAGCCGAGAGGGGGACAGGCCAGCCTGTCTGTCTGTCTGCCTTGACTTCCTAAGCAGTGCGTGTAAATCCCTCACAGATGGTGCACGCTCCCCGGCACTGGGAAGAGGGGCCTCTTCTGTGTCCCTTCCGTTTGCCCAGATCCCACTTGAAGAATGAGGTGCCACTTCAAAGAAGCGGGCATTCTGCGGGGGGCCTTACAGCTTCGCGTGATTCATGCTGGAGGTTAGCCGCTGCCTTTGCAGAGACTTTGTTGCGTGGAGTGCATTCCTCTGACCTTTCTTTGAATAGACAGCCCATGGCCGTTCACAGAACAAATGGGACCTCCGTGTAGAGAAGCTGGCATTAGCATGAGCTGCAGGAATTCTGGTGCTGCTTCCAGTTTTATCCCTTAAGCCTGCACTGGCCGCCCTCCCGCTGGGCTCAGCGCATCCTGGACGGAGGAGAAGGGATGGGTGTCCTGAGAGTAATTTACGATCTAGTCTCAGATGGCTTATGGCTTTAATCAGTCAGACTCGGGTCACTCAGGGTCCAAAACAGTCCTTGGAGGTGCCCAGCGCCATTGTGAGCTTGTTCATTCCGTGAGATTCATTAACACCAGACCCCAGTAGGGGGTGAGGGATGAGGGGTGGGGGGTAAAAGGGTCCTGTGGTCGGTGAGGGAGAGGCATGCCCTTAAAGGCTGTGAGAACGCAATGTGGAGTTAGTTATTTGCTCTCTTAGGACTTCTTGTTGGGCTTCCTTCACTTAGACCCCGTTAGTCGGCACCCCCGCTTCCACGGGTGGCTTGCCTATTTGATGGCTCAGATCCAGTGTCTTAGCTACACCCTGCCATGAAGAGTGCCGCTGTTCTCACAAAACAAACCCCAAACTCACTGCTGCAGGAGGCTTGGTCAGACGGCCCCCGGAAAAGGGTTGTGGCAGCTGCAGGGTCACAGCCTTCCGGGTCGCCCCTGCAGCGCCTCACTTACACTGCGTTCTGTGACAGCCCCAGACAGGCCTACACCCTCCTTCCCGAACCCCCAGGCCTCAGCACCTAGCCCCAGAAGGGGGCTGGGAAGTGAGGGTGGAGAGGCTGTTTGTTCCTGATGTTTCCTGTCAGGTTGAACTCCATTTCCCAGGAACATCTTCTGACAAGGGAAAGTCAAGGTCACAGGGGCTGAATTGCCTCCTATCTACCCACTGGGAGCTCTTCCCTCTCCAGCTACCCCCCCTCCCTGAACCACACACACACACACTGGAAGGTGCTGCTGGGACTGTGTGATCCCCAGAACCCTGTAGAGATCTATGCTTCTCAGGTGACCCACTGCCATTCCCACGGGTCCACGCTGAGTGCCTTCCTCCGAAGACGTTTCAGAAGACCTGTAACCAGACGCAGTAATGGAACCAGGCCGCAGGGAGAGACGTGGTGTCTGCAGAGCCTGGTTGGCTGACACAGAGTCAATTAGGGCCGCCACTGGGTGCCCGAGGAGCGCTGTCTTGTTAATGGAGATCCTCGCTGGGTTACTCTCTCAAGTTCCTTCCAGAAGAGAAATTAAAATCACGCAATTAAAATGCTCACAGTCGGGGCTGGCCGTGCTTGAACTGATTGAAAGATGAAGTGGGCATGCCAACAGTCTGGAAAAGAAATTGTCTCTGTGATTAAACACAATTAACCGGCATAATGTCTGCTTTTCCCAATGTAAGACTGATTGGAATGCTGACTTTAAAACAAACAGTCCCATCTGATTTCTCTTTTCATCCTCACCCAACTTGTGGCCCCCTCTAACACCAAAGATAGCGGGACACATCGGAAAACGGGGGGAAACGTGTTGGGAACCACGAGCCCAGGCTGTTCCGTGCACACTGCTGTGCTAGGCCTGCAACGCTTGCGTTTCTCCAACAGTGAACCTGGCAGAGGTTCTGTCCTGACCTCAGCGGAAGGAGCTGTTGAATGTGATAATCAACATGCCCGTTCGGAAGGTGAGAATAAAAGTTTAGTCCATTAGCTTTATTAGAAATATTTTTTCTGACTATTATAGAAAAATTGGAAAACATGATAAAAGAATAAAGAGAAAACACTCATAATCTCACCAGAGAAAGATAATCACTGGGCATTTTTTATACTACGTATACATATTTTAATTAATATTGAATATCTAGTTTATCTGTAGGTTGATTTTTGCTTATACTACAAATATTTTCGTGCTATTAAAAATTCATAGACATCCTCATAGCGTTGGGTATGTAAGTTAGTCACAGTATTTTGCTATTACAAAATAGAGAATGAAATATCTTGTTGCAAAAAGTCTAATTTTTTCCCTCAGGAAGACTTCTTACAAGAGCAATTTCCTTGGCCAAAGATTAGAATCATTTTTTTTTTAATTCTAATTTTTGAGAATTTTAAGGTTTTTTTCATGTACTGTCAAATTGCCCCTCGACAGGTTCCATCAGCAAAGTCAGAAGTCACCTAATTTCACAAATTCTCTAAAACACTGAGCATTGTCTCTATTAAAAAAACCTAGAGAACTCTCATATTCCCACAGATCGTGTGGGTCTGGATCCAATCACAGCCCATCTTGAAATGCTCGGTCTGGGCTGTGCATCTCAGAGACCTGAGGGCACTCTGGGCCAGCGCCAGGCAGTACCCACCAGGACAGCGGAGCTGTACCATGAGAACTGGAGAGCGGACCAGCGGCTGGGACCCGCGAGGACACCTGCATGCCGGGGTAACGGGCGGTCTGCCTGCCACCACCCCTTTCTCCCCTGCAGCTGTGCTGGCTGAGGATGGACACATGGTCATTCTAGAGAAGATGGACGACTGGAATGTGGTGGAGCTCAGAGTGAACGAAGAAGTGGTCTTCCACTGCAACATCAAAGACCTGGAATTCGGTAACTCCTCCCCCCTCTCCTCTCCCCCACCCCCAGCGGGGCCTTCTCTCAGAGCCCTCAGCTTCCAGATGAAGGGGTCAGTGGGTGGTGCCCAGATTCAACCCGGGCCTCCTTCTGAGTCTCACACTCTTCCTCAGTGAGCGCCCCCTGAGCCACAGACAGTGAAGTGCTCGGTGCTCTCGGCTTCTTCCGAACACGGGGGACAGAGAGGCAGAAAGAAGAAGTCTTAGCTCTAGACTTAGACAGATGATGGGAATTTAGGGATAATCGGTTGTTGGGGGAGGGGTGTGTGCATTTTACTAACGTGTGTTCTATTATGTTATCTTCAACACAAATGTGGTTTCATTCTGACTATTCTGTCTAAGCTGCTAGGACAGAGTTGATTTGCCAGCCGTACACAGCTGACCCGCCATGTTTTAAGGATTTCTCTGCTCTGGCGAGCTGCTGGCCTGGCAGCTGGCATCAGGCACACCTCACTCTGCCCAGAAGTAAAGGCTTTCACAACCCACTAACGCTCTGTCACAGACCAGCTGACCAGTGCCATGCCTGTGTGCGGTGAAAATGCTCCCCAGCGGAAGCCATGTGTGTGTCCTGCATGACATTA